GCAGCGGTACGTGGCAACACAAGCAGTGCAGGCAACGCGACTAACAAACAAGCTAGCGGTGGTTGTTGAAGCAACGGCGGTGCTTTGGATTTAGGGTTCAGGTTTTAGGGTTTTGGGGTTTGCGGTTTTCGGCTTAGCCGCGTGCCACTTTCACTAGTGCCCTCCGCGTGTTGGTGCATGGTGGTGGTGGTTGTGGTGGTGGTGCGTTAACAGCTTGCAAGCACACAACGACTCACTTTGCAAAACTGACAAACCCTGTCGCCCCCTTATATAGCAGATAGAATATGGTCATGGGTATCCCTTATACTATATATAAAAGGTAAATAAAAATATATAGCACATATTTCTATCTACTTTTATAAGGGGATGAGAGGGTCTGTATGCATGGTCGAGATCGGTGTTTTCACTCCCGGCGCGGCAAGCTGGCAAGCTCAGCATTTACATGCATCAACACTCTTTGGAGGATGCGCAAGTGCAACGTCGAGGTGTGCACAGCTGGTGCCAAGCCAACATGGCACGTCCTTCCGATCCAGGATTCGTCGCCCCAGCATGCAGCTTCGCGCGGGCTCATCCTGCTGCCGTTCTCCATACGCGCGCTGATCTCACATGCAAAGGAGTGCATGCGCGGCCGGATCTTCCACCGAGGTTGGCCGCTCAGCAGAGATCTCCTGGCCATCAGCATGTGCGTCTGCAAGTACAACTTCGCAAGTTGCACCGCGCGAAGGGCCGTGCGGTCATCCATCCAGGTACCCGAAGTCTCCACAACGTAGCTCCACTCGGCCAACGCCCAGCAACAAACGGCCACCATCTTGAGCGGCTGGATGGTTGTCGAGCGCAAGAACTCCGCGCAAAAGTTGACCATGACCTTGTTAGCATACCCCTTGGAAAACCCGTGGGGAAAGTCGAAGGACACGGCATCCACGCCAAGGCGAGTGAGGCCTCAATGTCAGTTAGCCATCAACCCCAAAAGAATGTTTGTGCGGGGCACACGCCTTGAATATTTCCATTAAAAAAACCATGTTTCCTATTCATGTGTCCGGTTGCTGATGTCTTCGATGGTGCTCTTTGCGACACCACGCTCCTCACACCAGTCGTGGAAATGCGAAAGAATGATGGCCAGTGCCCCATCCCAGCTGTCTGCGCTTGCACATCGTGGATCGTGCTCCGCCACCAGCATCAACGCACTGCCCACAGCGTCTTTCGCACAACCAAGCCATACAACGTGTAGGGGATCGGATACTTCCATATCCGGGCTCCAGCCCGGAATTGATCGCATCCTCAGCTTGAATATCCAAAACCCCAAACCTTCAACCTTGAGCCCTTATTGGAGCACAAGGCCTAAAAAGGAACAAATGTTTGATGTGTGCAGCAAGCAACGGAAGGTCAGGAGGAATGTTGTTGTTCAGATTGGCAATCACTTGTTCCGGCACATTCCAGGATTGGTGCAAGAAGTCTCCCCAATGCATATGGGTCAAGTTGCTCGTACACAAGCATCGGCGACAAAATGTCGCTGCAAGAGCATTATTGGCCCTCAAGTTTCCATAGTCCCTGGCCTCGACCAACCAAGAACTCTTGTGTTTCCAGTCACCACGCCCGAGTACATACTGCAAACTAATGCCATGCAAGTCTGGCATTGGCTCAGCGCAAGCCGCCAAATGCTTGGAAAAGTTTCGTTGAAGCGCCGCCAGCGTCAAGTTCCGTCCATGTTCATCGAAGGCAAAGTTGATGCTTCTAATAACCTGACTATATAGCTTCTCCATCATATTAATGTGATTTTAAGGGAGGGATGTTAATATACCGAAGAAAACACGTGAGAAAATGTTCATCTTCATGCATGTCCAGGATCCACATATGGAAACCGAAACATCATGATGTCTGAAGTGGGCCGGATACCAAGAGTGCCCCAGCTCAACAAGAATAAGGATCTTTCCCGCTTGCCCTTGCCCTCGTCACCATGCACCCAAATCGGGTGCGCCAAGGCACGATCTTCAGGTCTCAACTGCTGCACCGGATGTTGCCTTACATACACAGCTCATTTGAACTCATTTGCGCAACATGTATACATTATCCAAATTCGCAGCTAACATCCAAGGCACGGCCCCCATATTTCGGATCTCGATCGTTCCCAAAAATCGGTAAAATCTGCATCATCTGAGCCACTCCTCGGACGCAACAAGATTGTGACTTAGTCAATGACCAAGCATGAGGAGTCCAATCGAACATGTGGCACATATTATGGTTGCAGCCGAAAGTGCAACATCAACTTTGCACCACCGGCAATCAGGCCCTTGCACATCGACTTTGGAGTGAAAACGGGCCATCTGCGATATACCATAATCCTAAGCTGGGCCACTGTTGTAACATGTAGGAAAGCCAAAAAAAAATGAGACCATCATGGATAGAACCGAATTATAAAGGCAGCCAAGAATCTTGGACAACGCTTTTTTTTTCAATGGTTTCCGGCGCAAGCCATGGCCACGTCCTGCACGCGCATGTCCGCGTCCTACACCTCGCCCTCGGCCCCGAGCAGCATCATCGGCATCTTGCAGAGCTCGCGCTCGTTTGAGCTGGCGAACTTCAACAATTGGCAAAGTTATCCAGGTCACTTTGCACTTGACCCCAACCTGGCATACACACCACATGGTCAGAGAATTGCTGGACATCAGGCATGCAGTTGGGAGGCTCCATCGGTGTTGGCTAGTGCATTGTGAGCTTGTTCTTCGGCTTTATCTTTTCGCTTGCCACGTGATCCCTGTGTCAGAGCCCATCGAGAACCTGGGATATTCAAGGACACGTCTGGCAC